AACCGAACTCACGACCTTGCGCTTGCCAGGCAGGCGATTTTGCCGCTGAGCTAAATCCCCAGCCCCTCCCTAATTTCTCTTTCAGTGAGTTTGTTGTTTGTGTACAGGAATGCTATTGATTTTTGAGTGTTGACTTTGTATCTAGCAACACTATTGAATTTGGTTATTAAATCTAGAAGTCTTGGGGCTGGGGATTTTGCTCAGCGGCAAAGCGCCTGCCTGGCAAGTGCAAGGTCATGAGTTCGGTTCCCAGTACTGGAGAAAAACCAAAAATAAATAAATAAATAAATAAATCTAGAAGTCTTTTGGTAGAGTTTTTGCCATCTTTGACATAGAGTATCGTGTCATCTGTGCATAATAATTTCACTCATTCCTTTCCTGTCTTCATTCTTTTTGTTTCTCTCACTTGTCTAATTACTCTGGCTAATGTTTCCAGAAATACATTGAATAGAAGTGATGATAGTGGACATCCTTATCTTGTTCCTGATTTTAGAGTGACAACTTTCAGTTTTTGTACATTTAGTATGGAGCTGGCTGTTTGTTTGTCATAGATAACTTTTATCAGATAGAAGTGAAAACCATCTATTCTGATTTGTGTAGAATTTTTATCGTGAATGAGTGTTGGACTTCATAAAAAGTTTTTCTGCAACTATTGAGATGATCATGTGATTTTTGTCTTTGGCTCTGTTGATATGGTGTATTACGTTTATTGATTTGTATATGTTGAACCATTCCTGCATTCCCGGGATGAACCCAACTCGGTCATGATGTGTAATCTTCTGATTATTTGCTGCCTTCTCTTTGGTAGTATTTACTGAGGATTTTTGTATCTATGACCATTAGAGAGATTAACCGGTATTTCTCTATTTTGGTTGGATCTTCCTCTGGTTTTAGTATCAGGATAATATTTGCCTTTAGGAAGGAGTTAGGGACAATTGCTTCCCTTTCAATTTCATTAAAGAGTTTGAGAAGAATTGATGTTAAATCTTCCCTAAATTGCTTGTAGAATTAAGCAGTGAATCCACCAGGACCTGGGCTTTCCTTTATTGGTAAGATTTTATTGTTTTCAATTTCATTGACTGATATTGGGTTATTCAGGATTTTTATATCTTCTTGATTCAGCTTTAGTAATTCATATGTATCTAGAAATCTGTCCATTTTTTCTGTGTTTCCCATAATAGGACAGTAAGATTTTTGAAGTAGGTATTAATGATCTTCTGAATTTCTATAGGATCTGTAGTGATTTTACCCTTTTCATTCCTTATTGCATGAATTTGAGTTTTTTCTTTCTTTTTTTTTTTTTTTTTTTTTTTTTTTTTTTTTTTTTTTTTTTTTTTTTTTTGGTTTTGGTTTTGGTTTTTTGCCAGGCAGGCACAATGACACTGAGCTAAATCCCCAGCCTGCCTTCCTTTTTTTGATAAGGTTGGCTGGGGTTTATCAAATTTATTTAGGCTTTCAAAGAACCAACTCTTTGATTCATTAATTCTTTGCATTGTTTTCTTAGTCTCAATTGCATTAATTTCTGCTCTGATCTTTATAATTTCTTCTTCTCACTGAGTTTTAGACTTGACTTGCCCTTCTTTTTCTAGAAGCTAGAGGTACAGCATTAAACTGTTTATTTGTACTCATTCTGTTTTTCTGATATGAGAACTCACTGGTATAAATTTCCCTCTGAGGACTGCTTTCATTGCATCCTACAGATTCCAGTAAGTTGTATCCGCACTTTTGTTTGATTGTAAATATTGTCTAATTTCTTCTTTAATTTCATCTGTGACCCACTGGTTGTTCAGGAGGATGTTATTTAATTTCCATATGTTTATAGAGTCTTTGCAATTTCTTTTGTCAGTAATTTCCAATTTCATTGCACTATGGTCTGATAATATGCATGGGAAAATTTCAATTCCTTTGTATTTACTTAAGTGTGTTCTATGGGCTAGTATATGGTCTATTTTAAAGAACATTCCCTGTGCAGCTGAAAAGAATGTAATGTGCATCCTGATGTTGTTGTGTGAAACACTCTGTAAAGGTCTACTAAGTCCATTTATTCACAAGTTTGGTGAAGTTCTGCTATTTTGTTGCTGATTTTTTGTCTAGTTGACCTATCTCTTTATGACCATGGGGTGTTAAATTCCAACATTATGATTCTGTTATTGCTTATTTGATTTTTCATGTCTATTACTATTTGTCTTATGTAGCTGGGTGCTAACATATTTGGTGCATATATATTTATGATTGTTATCACTTCCTCTTGAATTTTTCCCCTAACAAGTATGTAGTGACCTTCTTTATCTCTTTATCATTCTTGGTTTGAAGTTCACATTGTCTGCAAGCACAGTAGCTACCTTGCTTTTTTCTGGATTCCTGTTGTATGGAGTATTGTTTTCCATCCTTTGACTTTCAATGGATGAATTTCCTTTTGCATTAAATGTTTCTTGTATACAGCATATTATTGGATTTTGTTTCTTGATCCATTCTGCCAGTCTATTTCTTTTGATTGATGAACTGAGGCCACTTACATTAATGACTATAACTGATATGTGTTGGCTTATCTTTGTCATGTTATTTTCATGATGTTGCTTCCTTACTTTTCTCCTTTGTTTAATTGATTGCCCTGTTTGGTGGTTCCTTTCTATGGTCATTCTTGGAATTATCATTTTTTAGCTCTTTCTCGAATATCTTTCAGTACTGTTTGTAGGGTTGGTTTGGTGATCACGAATTTCTTAAGTTGTTCTTTGTCATGGAAGTATTTTATTTTTCCATTAATTTTGAAAGATAATTTTGTAGGGTATACCAATCTGGGTTTGAAGTTTTCTTTCAGAACTTCAAATACTTCACTCCAAGCTCTTCTTGACTTGAGAGTTTGTGTTCTGAAGTTGACTGTGTTTCTATTGGGCTTTCCTTTATAAGTGATCTGTTTTTTCTTTCTCTAACAGCTTTTAATAGTCAGTTTTCATACTGAATTTCTGGGATCTTGATTATTATATGTCTGGGTATAGATTTATTTTAGTCATGGCTGTTCGGGGTTCAATATGCCTCACTTCTCTGGATGTCAGATTCTGTTCCTATGGTTGGGCAATTTTCTGCTATTAGTTCTGCAAATAATTTTTTCATGTCATTAGTGTTTACTCCAGCTTTTTCATTGACACCTATCAGTCTTATAATGTTTTTCTTTGCATTATCTTGCAGCTGTAGAACTGTTATTTCCTGGTTCCTTGTTATTTTTAAGAGGTCTTTCCTTTTTGGGGTCTCTAGCTGCAATGCTGTCTTCAAGGTCTGAAAGTCTATCTTCAGTTTTGTTCAAGCAGTTTTGCCAGCTATCAATGGAATTTTCAATTTCCAGAATATCTCTTTGAATCTGTTTCATGCATTGTAATTCTTTCCTATACTGTTCATTCAAGGTTTCCAATATTTTTCTATGCCCCTCTATTTTTTGTTTAATCTCTGAGTCCTTTAGATATGCTGAGCAATTCTTTCATTATGGTTGTCATTTCTTTTTTTATCTGAGAGATTATTTCTGATCTGATTTCTTCTGTAGCCTGATGGAGTTGTTTCTTTACCTCATTTACTATCATTACAGAAATTTCAGTTGTGTGACTTCCAAGTTCCATGTTGATGTCTCCTGGACTTGTTCTGAGTGAGCTGGAGGTCTGAGATTGTATTTTGCTCCTTCATTTTGACATTTTCTATTTCAAAAAAAATTTATTTTGTTTTCTGTGATGATCCTTGTGAGTTGTGGTAGTAGGAAGCTATATCACTAGTATTAAGTCCTCTCTAGGAATAGTCTGTACTTCAGGGTTACCTGTGTGTGTAGGAGATTCTTGGTTTGTGTCTGTCCCAAGATCCTACCTTCCCAATTCATTGAGAGTGGAATGTTGGTTTCTGTTTGGCTCAGTCCCCAATCTTTCTGTGTAGAGCTGTGGTGAGGTTATTATCCTAGAGCTTCCCAATATTGTTACACAAGGGCAAACAACTGATTATAACAGATAGGATATCCTAGCTACAGTAGTACAATTAGCAATAAGCACAATTTAGAAGCTGACAAACTGTGGTAACTATTTATTTTGTACTTTAGACTACAGAAGCAAAGTCTATAGTTATATAACAGAACTTATTGTAAACTAGGAGTTTGTATGCAAAGTATTTCCCCTGTTAGAGTGGATTTACCCTGGATTCTTCCAGACAAGCAGGTTGCCATGTCCCAGGTGCTTCTTGCCCTGGCTGCCCATCCTGCAATGTAGGAATATGGGCCAGGCACCAGCATTCCTCCAGATCGAGACTCCCTGGATGGCAGAGGGACAGTGGGCATGGATCACCAAGACTGCCAGGGTTCCTGAGCTTCTGCATGGCTCCTGCAATGGTGAGGGAGGCAGTGGGTAGGGTGTCTCCCCTCCCGCATGGCTCAATAAGGCTCCTGAGGTTCACTGAGGCTCGCCATCACTCCATCCTTGGTGGGGGTTGGTTACTTACCTATTCTTGCAGTTCCTTGATTGTCTTAGGTATTCTTTCCTTCTTGCCTTCAGATCTTTCCATATGACATTACCACTGAATGAAATCCTCATCTTAGCACACAGTAAGTCCTCAATAAAACTCTCAGTTTAATGAATCTCTGTATTTTTCATGTTTTGAGATTTGAAAGGTGGCTTATCAGAAACTCTGGTTTTAGGGAAAAGAGAAAGGAAAATTTTAATGTTGCTTGTTTTACATCACCAGTTGTGTTTTTACCCTAAAGTTAGGAGAAAGCATATGTCAGAAAATTTATTCCTCTATTCAATGATTGGTTTCACATGTATGTTGTAGTCCTTACATTGGGTGGGGGTTTCTCTGACTGGCACAGCTGAATTCCAAAGACTGCAGGTCCTGGAAGGAAACCACTTATTTGGAAATACAAAGGAAATTTTTCTGACCCATTCTTTTCTCTCTCTCTCTCTCTCTCTCTCTGTGTGTGTGTGTGTGTGTGTGTGTGTGTGTGTGTGTTTATGTGTGATGTTTGGAGATTTATTACCTATTTTTTTTTCTTTATATAGTATTATTTTTTGTTTGTTTTTGTCTCTTTTTTTCTTTTCTCCCACTTCTCTTTTCTCACTGTCTCTTTTTTTTCCCTTATGCTTTCCTTTAGTTTTCTCTCTATATCTTCTTATTTCTCCATTATTCTTGTGTTTTTTTCTTTTATGTTTATCTAATACTGCTAAATTCCCTTTACTCTTTCAGGGGTTTCTTTATTTCACTGTTATCACTTATTTCTCATCTTCCATCACTTAGTTTCTCAAATTTTTCTTTTATCATACTCCCATTCCCCATATCTTCTACCTTTACAAGTATAACCATTAACCTTTTATGAATCTATACATAGCTAACTATATCTTATCCCTATTGAACATTGTTATATTGTTAGTAGAGGTAAAGTTTTTCCATCTAGTAGGTATTTCCTATAACTCAATAACTGGTTTGTCTTAGTACTTATACTATAATTAGAGATCTCTTTCCTATGGTTAAGGATGGTTCTTAAGGCTTATAAATGTCCAGTTTGTATTAGACACTGTTGTTGCTGCTGATTTTATTATGATATCCAAGGTGACATAGTTGTTGCTATCAATTGGTCTCTTTATATGTCAATTTCTGAATTGTCTGTGGGGTCATAGACAAAACTACAGTCCATTCCTGGAGAACCAGATAATGGCCCAAGTAAGCTCCAGCCTCCACTCTCAAAGAAGTGAAAGTGGTTGGATCCTGAAACAGAGGTAAAAGCAAATGGCTGGCCATGTTCAGAGGCTATCTCTGAAAAGTAGGTATTAACTAAAGAAGTCTCCATACTAGCAATAAAGGTATCCAATATAATCAACCTGTGGGCCTCAGCACAGAAAGCAAATAAACAAAAAGATACATGAAAGACAAGCCAATAAAATGCCTTCGCAAACTCTCAACTCTCCCCAAGCTGATCTATGGAGCTGAAGAGGAAGAAACGAAAACCACACATTTGGACTATGCTTAATGATATCAAAAGTGATAACAAAACATGTGAATAAGGCACTGGCAAAGTCATAGAAGCTATAAATAAACAGATATTGGGCCAAATAAACAAAATTATCAATGAATCTACAGAAGTCACTATTAAAAAGCTATCAGAGTTAAATAAAATGATGCAAAACATGAATAACCAGCTTAGAAAAGAATTAGAGGTCATAGAAAGGCTCCAAGTATAAATTCAAGAGACTAAATAGTCTATCAAAAGTATGAGCAGCAGAAGTGACCAATGTGAAGACAGTGTCAAAACTAAAAGATGGGGTTATTGGTGACCAATTAATGAAAATACCATAAAAACAACAAGTGAACATGAAATATGGATCAAACGGGGGCTAAATGATTCAAAGAAGATGAATAGAAGATTAATTGGACTTAGCAAAAAATCAGAAGACAGAACAAAGGGCATAAAAACCCTGTTTACACAAGTAATATCAAAAAGCTTTCCAAACATGAAAAAATAATTTAACATACAGTTAAGTGAGGCGTACAGAACTCCAAATAGCCAAGATCAGAAAAGAACCACTCTATTACACATCACAGTCAAAATACCAGAAATCTAAACAAGAACAGAATCCTAAAAGCTCACTGAAAAAGGCAATGAATCACTTGTAAAGGTAAACCATTAGAATTACAGCAGACTTATCAACACAAAATTTAAAGGCAAAGAGAGCCTGAAATGAAGTGTTTCAAGTCCTAAAAGAAAACAACTTCCAACCTAGACATATATGTTGCAAACCTATCTTTCTAAATTGATGAAGAAGTAAGCTATCTCCATGATTAAAAAGCACCTAAAGCAATTCATGACCACCAAACCAGCACTCCAAAAATTCTCAAGATTACCCTAGAAAGAGACAATGAAGCTATTATTCCTAAAGGCCCAGTGGAATAAATACGCCAGGTAGGACAAACAATTAAGTGGAAGGGAAAGAAAGGGAGTCAGTAGCAGGAAAATAATGCAGTGGCATGAATAAATCAGTACCTATCAATTATAACTATCAATGTGAATGGTCTCAATTCATAAAAAAAAAAGAAAGACAGATTGTCAGAACAGATGAAGAAACAAAATGTAATGGTATGCTCTACACAAGAAACACATTTAACTCAAAGAGAAATTCATAGAGAATTCAAAAAGAAAGTCAAAATGAAAAACAACATTCTATTCAACAGAAACCAGAAAACAAGGAAAAGTAGCTATCTTATTTTTAGACAAAGTAGACATTAAGCCAAAACTTACTCGAAGAGGCACAGGACACTATATATTGGTCAAGAAAACTATTCAACAGGAAGAGATAACAATTATAAACATATATGCACCAAACAAAAGTTCATCCAGCTTCATAAAATAAGCACTACTGGACATAAAAGGTAGAGGCTGAAGCAGGAGGATTGCTATGGGTTTGAGGCCAACTGAGGCTACATACTGAGTTCAAGTCCAGCCTGAACTACATAGCAAAGACCCTACCTCAAAAAACAACAAGAGAAAAAGAGAGAGAAAGTAAAAGAAAGAAAAATTCTGAGTAATCCAATGACAGCCAATGAAATGCAAGCTGTAATAAAAAGTTTACCAATGAAGAAAAGTCTAAGACCTGATGGATTCACTGCCATATTCTACTAGAACTCCAGGGAAGATCCAACACCAATACTCCTCATAATCTTTAATGAAATTAAAAAGGGGGAACTACTCCCAAAGTCATTCCTGGAAGCTAGTATCACCTTGTTTGAAAACCATACAAGGATCCAACCAAAAAGAAAACTACAGACCAAACTCTCTAGTGAACCTAAATGCAAAAATCCTCAACAAGATACTGGCAAGAAGAATGCAACAAATCATCAAAAAGATCATATACCATGACCAAGCAGGCTTTTTCCCAGGGATGCAAGAATGGTTTAATATATGCAAATCAATAAATGTAATTCATCATATAAACAGAAGCAAGAACAAAAATCACACAGTCATCCCAACAGATGCAGAAAAAGCCTATGACAAAATGGAAAATCCATTCATGTTAAAACACTGATGAAAACAAGTATAGAAGAATCTTATCCCAATCTGATAAAACACATTTATGACCCAATCTACCACCAACATCATATTAAATGGGATAAAACTCAAAATTTTCCCTCTAAAATCAGGAACTAGACAGGATGTCCTCTATTACCACTCTTGTTCAGTGTAGTCCTTGAAACATTAGCCAGAGTAATCAGGCAAAAGAAATATATGGGGTATATATAGAAAAGGAAGAAATCTAAGAATCATTATTTGCAGATGACATTAGCCTTTACACAGAAAACCCAAAACATTCCACCAATATGCTCCTCAAATTAATAACCAAATTCAGCAATGTATCAGGACACAAAAAAGCAATAGCATTTCTGTACACTAATAATGAACTCACTGATAAAGAAATTAGGAAAACAGCACTATTGACAATAGCATAAAGAACAATTAAATTTAAGGATTAATTTAACCAAGGAAAGGAAAGAGCTCTACAACAAAAATTACATCACTCTGAGAAAAAGGAGACTGAAGCAAATGGAAAGATCCTATGTTCCTGGATAAGCAGAACCAACACAGTAAAAATGGTTATACATCCAAAATTCATATATAGATTTAACATAATCCCAATCAAATAACAGCACTCCTCACAGGTCTAGAGAAAATAATCCTGAAGTTCTTATAGAACCAGAAGAAATCCAGAAAGGCAAAAGCAATCCTGGGCAATAAAACAAAGCAGGAGGCATCACAAATCCAAATTTGAAGTTATACTACAAAGCTACAGTGATAAAACCAGCATAATACCAGCAGAAGCATACAAACAGAATAGAGGATGCAGAAATTACCCCAGGCACCTTCATTCATCTTATCTTTGACCAGGGTCCAAAAACTTATCCTGGAGGGAAAACAGTCTCTTTAGTAAACAATAATGGTGATATTGAATATACAGATGCAGAAGATTAAATCTAGTCCCATCATGTACTAAACCAAGATTAAAATGGATTAAAGGTCTAAATATTAAAACAGAAACACTTAATCTGCTACAAGGTAAAATAGGTAAAACTAATATAAGGGGAAAAAAAACTCTCAACCTGCTAGATATCTGGGATGAGTTTGTGTTCTCTAAACTGAAGAATGAATTTTAGGAACAATGGAGGTTAAGAGCACAATATACTTATTAGGGAAACAAAGCTTCTGTCCCAGAGAGACAGAAGGACAACTGAGTGGATTGCCAAAGAGCTGCCATTTTTAGGGATTTTTATACAGCAAACCACGAGGCATGGTGGGTCCAAGGTGGGAAACATGGGAACTCGTAAGGTGGGCATGAGGTGGAACAAAACTATGGCCAACCAATAAGATTATAAGCATAATTGCTCAGGAAAAATTGATTATTATATCAGGATCAAATAGGGAAGCGAGTCATGTAGCAAGAGGGCAAGAACACAGAACAGGGGCTTTTCCTATAGAGGGTTGAGTTAGTGACTCTCCTTGGCTTTCTCAAGGTGACAGAGACCTACTGAGAGTATCAATCCCTGATGTTTACCCTTAGGGAGGTATGTGGGTGCATTTGTTTTATCTTTTCTCTTGAAGTCTGGCCCACAGCTGGAGGTGTCTGTCTCTCCCACAACTGCAAGGTATCTCATCTTCCATACTGCTCCTTCTGAGGGCCTATCCCTGTCTGACTGCCTATATTTTTATTTAACTCAGTTGCCTATAACAAAACTCTTGAAGACATAGGTGTAGGCAAGAACTTTCTGAAGAGAGCCCCAAAACTCATATATAGATTTAACATAATCAAGAAATAGTACAAATCAGCAAGTGGGGTCATATCAAATTAGAAAGCTTCTGCACAGCAAAGAAAACAACCAACAGAGTGAAGACATAACTTACAGAATAGGAAAAAATGCTTTGCCAGCTATTCCTCAGACAGATGAGTCCTATTTGGAAAGTACTCAAAAATATTAGACCTCCAAAATAAAAGACCCAATCAAAAATGGGCAACCAAAATGAATAGACACCTCTCAAAGAAGTATAAATAGCCAATAAATACACGAAAAAATGTTCAACATCTCTAGACATTACATAAATTAAAATTAAAACAACACTGAGATTCTATCTTACTCCAGAAAGAATGGCTATTATCAAGAAATCAAATATAATGAATGGTGGCAAGGCTATGGGGGGAAAAGGAAATCTTCTACATTGTTGGTGTGAATGTAAACTAGTAAAACCATTATGGAAATCAGTATGGAGATTCCCCTAAACACTAAACTTAGAAATTCCATTTGGCTGGGATATTCCCCTGCTAGGTACCTTCCCAAAAGAGCTGAAGCCATCATATTACAGTGTTACAAGCATACTTGTGTTTATATCAGTACAATTTATAATAGCTAAATTTTGTCCTCTATGGCCATCAATAGATGAATGGATAAGAAAATGTGGTATTTATACATAATGGAGTACTACTCTGCCATAAAGGATAAATTTGAGGCATTTGTACATTTTGTGATTGTGACTGAGACTGTGATTTGTGATTGTGGTTGTGATTTGAAGACATAGTAAGTGAATAAATAAATAATCAGACACACAAGGTTAAATTTTGAGTGATTTCTAGTATATGAGAAGCCCAAAATATAAATAAAGAGCAAAATAAAAGATAGATATAGGTAACAGGGAGATGGTTTTCAACTGGGAAGGGAAATAAGAGATGGCAGAAAGGGAGAGAGGAAAGGGAAAGGGGATAAAAGAAAGAAAGAAAAAATTTTTTTCTTTTAAAAGAAAAAAATGGAAATAGAGCTTTTGCAGATGGCAAGGGGATCAAGAGATGGAGGTAGCTGGGAAGGATAGAAGGCACAGGGGAAAAAAAAGACAGAGGTGTTAAGAGGTGTTATGGCCATGTACCATCTCCCCTCCAGAAATGTATTCATCATGTACTGCAAACATATACTCATAAAAAATAAACCCAAAAAATCATAAAATAAATGTTTCTCACTATTATGCAATAAAACCCTAAATCTCTAGTTCTTGAAGTATCTGGCCTAATGGTATCATTTTCTATTCCTTCATTCTGCTGTAGAGGCCTTAGATATTTTCTTCGACCATTTCAAATGAATCGAGTGGAAGGAAGGGAACTTAAGTGTGTGGATGTAAATCACCATTTTAAAGTGAAATAGTTATTTCAGAAACTCTATTAACATCTCACTTGTTGATATACATTAAATACAATCACTACTGGGCACTAGAAAAAATAATAGTGGCATGGCTCTCAGCTATGAAGGAAATGCAGACCAAATGACTAAGGATGTCAGAAATCCCCGCCCTGGGTCATCTGTCACTGAGCATCAGCTCAAGGCACTTTCTTCCCCTCCACTGAGGAGTAATCCTCCCCCAGAGAACTTGCTTAGGTGCCTAGCTTAGAAGATATTTAAGGGTATTTCTCAAAAATATTTTCATGTCAGTAAAAATGGAAAGATAATGTGCAGCGACATTTTCTCATCCTTCTTGCTGAAGGGAGAAAGGAAGGCTTGAAGCACAAGTTGAACTAAGGGAGTGCTGGCAAGTCGGCACTAGATGGAGGCAGCTGGCCGGAGGCCAGGAGACATGCGGCACCTTTTCTGTGCCCACGCCTGACCAGGCACTGCGCACAGATTAATGCATTTAATTCTCGTGCAAGCCTACACAGAGAGTGCTATTAATTGTGTTCCTTTACAGAGGAGAAGCCAGCATCACAGGCGTTCTTCTAGGCAAGATCACATAATAGTGAAGTGGCAGAAGGAAGGAAGAGGAGGTGGGTTACTCTTGTGTAAGCACTATTGGGCTAAACAGTGGGGTAGGGATCACTTACCTTAGATACAGCTTTAGAGTCTTCAGACAGCTTTAGAGTCCTCCAGCTTTGTCTCTGCAGAGTTCCAACCAACAGAGAAACTTGGAGAAAATTGCTTGTCTGTGAGCCTCAGTTATAGTTAAATCATCCATAAAATGGGAATAATAACACTGTCCTTGGTGCAGTCAAACAAATCCAAATATGTGATACCTGCTTCAGAAGTATATGTGTTCTCTTCTCCTACTTTCCCTGCCCTAAAAGAGGAAAGGCCCCTGAGGGAACTTTTTATATTGGCAATACCTTCTCATTCTCAAAGTATTTTCACGTGTGTTCTCCTAGGCAATTCTGGTTAGGAAAGTCTAATACCCATGCCACTGCTCTGGCAGATGAAAAAATAATCCCAGAGGCACTGAGAAATCTTTCTGAGGTCACAGAGCTCTAGCTTGAGCTGGGCTCCAGATTACCTGACTTCTGGTTACAGCTGCCCCTAATGGAGCAGTCCCTAAGCACTGCATTGGCTGAATTACAAAGCAGTGTAGCTGTACATCCAAGCCAAAAGCTATACCAAGCTGCTGTGATAGCAATTTCGGGTTGAGTTTCTATTGACCTGTTAGCTGTCTATTCCTGACTGAGGCATCAGCTATCTTACCCTTTTGGTGCACAATGTGAGGTTTCAATAAAGAGCCAGGCAGGGAACATCCATCAGTGTCACCTGATGTGTCCAGAGGCCCTCTTGAGACAGGAGTAGAGGAGAAGAAATACCATCTGCAATCCATAAACTGAGAAGAAGACTCACCTAAAATCACCACTCAATAGGGACTCAGCCTTTCTAACTTTGAAAGCTTGTGGATTATTGTAAATAATATTGAGTAAATCAAAATTATCAAAATAATATGGAGTAAATAACATTATCCTAGCTGTACTATCCAACATTATTTAAGCTTCCCTACTACGATTTCTATGTGTATTACTCAATCTCTCCCTTTCACACATATAGACACACAGTCTAACTCTGGTTCAGGTTTTTCAATGTACATTTATCATGACTTTCACAGAAAACAGGGTAAATGAAATCCTTCTCCACATCTGTACCCAAATCAATAATATCTGAGAGTCTTAATGCTAGAATTCAAGCTCCGGAGTAATGCTCAGTTAAAATGCTGTGCAACTGGCCTCATTTCCATTGCAATATCTTAAGCTCCTGATGGTTAAACCTTTTGTAGTGGGAATCCTTTGCTTACTATTCCCCTCATGTGCAGGCTGCATGATTAGCTTCTTAAATGTGAGCAGTAGTTTATGGCAAGGTGATTGCGGGCTACTGCACACATTACAGAGCAGACTTTGCATAAGGGGGAATAAATCTCAATGACCCTACAATCTTTCCCTCATAATCAGTTTTCTTTCCTATAACTGCATCTCTCTGAGGACTGTCTGGGGCTTTACTGCAATAAATAAGTTAATGTAGAAGAGGAAACAGATGTGTTTCACTCCATTCTGGGATTTTTTATAAAGCAACTCATTTCAGAAAGTGCAAGTGAGGTTTTGTCTAAAAATCCCACCAAGAAATAAATAAGGAATGGGAATTTGTATCTAAAATAACAAAGAAGAAGTATAATTAAGGTTTCATCCAACAAGTGGCCTGAGAATCCAATCAGTAGCACTGAGGCTCCAAATGCTAACTCCAGGATGGTCACCAACTCGCTTTATGATCTGACACATGTCAGTTCACAGTTCCAAACTGGGGTGGAATTTTCATTTGCCTCACAGTTTAGATGTAAGAAGTATTTATTCGGAGAGAACATGTTACTTGTCACTCACCGCTAGAGAGTTTTGTGCTTTGTCCTAAAGCAAAGTTATGGATGGGTTCAATTTGAAAGTAATAGATTGTCATCGATGGACTACTTCCGTGATTCAGGATTACTCAAAAGGTGGTATGCAGGGGATAAGGTAGCAGTTTAACAGGAAGGGAGAAATACAAAATAGCTAGACCATCCTTTCTTCTCTGAGAGCTGTTATATGATGGGTCTTTCTGTACATGCCCCACTGCCACCCCATTCCAAGCTGAACAGATTACCTAACTTATGGAAAGAAGCCCCCGCTCTATGACTGCTGTGGGGCAACCAGATTCTGTCTCCTAGAAATGGGGAAATAAGTACCAATGGGCCTCATCAAAGATTGCTGGTAGGAAGGTAAAAAGGCATAGCTACTATGGAAAACAACATGGCAGTTACTGATAAAGTTGATTATAAAAAGTTGATTAGCACAGGACCCAGACATTCCATTCCTAAGTATATGCTTTCACCAAAACTTGTATACAGGGTTTGTATCACATGCTGATTCAAAGTGAAATAAGAGTGCCATAAAAAAATGAAAATTACAGGCCAGTTTCACTGATGATCATAGATACTCAACAAAATCCTCAACAAAATGCCCACAAATACTGAAGCAAAGTGTGGTGGTGCATGCCTGTAATTTCCATCTACATAGTAGGCTAGGGAAGGAGTATCCAAGTTTGAGGTAAGCCTGGGCAACTTAGTGAGACCCTGCCTCCAAAGAAGAAAATAAAGGGCTAAGGGTGTAACTCAATGGTGGAGGGCTTCCTAGCATGAGTAAGACCCTGGGTTCAATCCCCAGCATGAGAAAAAAATACCAGCAAACTGAATTCAACAGCATATCACAATGAGCATTCATTGTGACCAAATGGTACATGTCACTGGGATATAAATTTATCTCTGGCTGCACAGGACATGGGGTTGAGGGGAGTGGGGAATAGCTGCTAATAGGTATGGCATTCCTTTTTGAGTTGATGGAGATATTCTGGAATTAGATAGTGGTGGATGGTTGGACAACATAATGAATGTACTAAAAACCACTTTAAAAAGATGAACTTTATATGATATATACCTCAAGTTTTAAAATGTCATATATATATATATATATATATATATATATATATTAAAGCAGAAGGACTAAGGAAGCAGTGGAATCCAGAATATGAACATCTTAACATGCAAAAATTAAGGCTCCCTGATGAGCCAACACTAACTAAGCAGAGAATTACTCTGCCAGGGAGGAGATCCTCAAGAGAACAGCAGAGAGACTAGCATCTTGAGCACTGTGAACCTCTCCAAGTCCTCGTATGGATCTTAGCATCACGCCCCGGGGTAGGTACCACTGCCCTGTGCCTACTTAACAGAACCTCCACATTTGCTTGATTGCTTGAGATGATTGCCTATACTTTGCACAACAACAAAAAAGTATCCCCACCTAAGACAAGCACTTATTTCCCCTCCATACACTAGCAAAAATTTTAAAGCACTTTCTAGGTTTCCTAGAACCTCAGTGAGAATGAAACTTATGCACCAACACTTGATTCTACCAAAGAAAAACAAGGGTCATAATCACTTGATCAGCATACTTCTGCTTGAAAATCTTTAAGGCCCAAACACAGCAGGAGCTCAGAGTAGCATATCTCTAACCCAAGGGACGATGGGAGCAGGGGAGACAGCATCCTCAGTGTTTGAAGCAAGTGCACTGTCAGAGTAGCTACAAACAGCCCCAAGATTTCCTTCAGCTTTCCTCCACCTCCCATCCCCTCATGAGGGCATTCTTATTCCTCACTAAACACCTAAATGAGTAACTGTTGGGAGGGTACTCGGTCAAACCTAGAGAAAGAGAACTGAGCTGTTCCACTGTCATTATTTTGTTAAAGTCACCCACAGATCTTAGCTTTTCTCCCAAACTATAAAGCAATGTGATATATATGATAGGAGATGGGCTTGGTGAACATTCTCCCTAATAGCATCCATGAAAATTAACTTTCATTGATTTGCTGTTAAAATTCTACATCCATAGCTACTTTGTATAATGATTTACTCAGTAATGCTGATTTTGAGTCATGAGCTGGCAGGTGCATGAGTACATTTATAGAAGATAGTACAATCCTGTTAAGAGCACCAACAGATGCCTAAACTCAGCATCACTCTTCACCCCAAGGCTCCCCCAAACAGGGATCTCTATGTCTTCCAGAGACACAGTTTACGGAACTGTTGCTTGCAAAATCAGGATGATGTCTGTGAGGTCACTAGACCTTGGCCTAAATCTGATTTGAATGATTACATTTCATTCCACCGAGTCGGTAGAGGCCCCTGATTAATAATCAGCATTTGCTACATGCCAGTGAAGTGTTTGCTGCTATAAATAGATAGAGTTAACAATCTAATTAACTATACAAACTGGCAAGATGAACACTCCATTCTGGGAGAAAGACAGATGACAATATTTTTAAGATCTGTGAGTACTAAGCTGTCCCTGACCCTAAGCCATTAGCAGTTAATGTCAAAGGTCACTGTGTTAACTCTCATTCTTAAAAATCCTTTGCAAAAGCTCTCACCTTTTCTTCCTGGGAGCAGGGGTGTCATCGATAAATATTTCATAATGATACTATAGGACTTTGAAGTCTCTAAGGATAAAATATTTCTAGAGAAGAACATGTCACCCCTGAGTTCACAGCCCTTGGACATGCCATCCCCAGGACAAGGTCCCCTAACTCCAGCTGCTGAGCAAGAAAAGATCTGCCACTGTCTTTTTCATAACGATGCTTGGTCTGTGGAAATCTCTTTGACACTTCCGCCTACCCAGCTGAAGGAAAGAATGTGTTCTTTAAGTGTTTTGCCATCTGAAATTCATAATCTGATTTCATTCTAAGAGTAGCTGAATTTGGTCGACCGTGGCATAAAAGTAATATTTTGATAACGGTAGGATTTCTGTCCCTTTTTTTCTTTTGTATTTCATTTACAGTAATGTGTATTCTTCCCTCGTCTTGCTCCTCAACAGAGAATACTTCATTCAGCCCTACATTATGAAGCCAGCTTGCCGGGCATGGTGGGGCACACCTGTAATTCTAACACTCTGGAGGCTGATGCAGGAAGATCATCGGGACTTTGAGATGAGCCTGGTCTTCAGAGAGAGTCGAAGGACAGCCTGAACTTATAGTGAAAGCCTGTGTCAAAAAACAGAAATAAAAAATAAGTCCAGCTAAACTGTGACCTCATTGATTAGCCAATTGGTGGCCTTT